AGCTAACCCCAAATACACCCTAAACCAATCCCTAAGCAATAAACCCTAAACCTAAACCAACCCTAAACCAACCCTAAATACACCCTAAACCAAACTCTAAACCAAACCCTAAACCGTACACCTCTAAACCTAAACCAACCCTAAACCAACCCTAAATCAACATAATTCAACCTAAATCAACCCTGAACCAACCCTAAACTAACCCTAAATACACCCTAAATATACCCTAAACCAATTCTAAACCAACCCTAAACCACCACAACCCAACCACAGGACCACAACCACAGGGGGGGGGGGGGGTACTTGTCTGACCCATGACCATTGGGGGGGGAGGGGGGGGGGGGCTGGCAACGCTGTACCATATATAGGCAAAGCCTGCAACCGACTGCACCACGCCCACCCCAATCCCTGCCTGTGTTGCGGGTTTCTTGCGCCAGCTCTCTGGCAGCTCAGGAGTGTCCTCACACCCGGGCTTCCAACGATCAAATGCCAGCAGCCTACCTTCATCCAACAGCCGCCCAGCTCAACCGCTAGTGCGGGTAGAGTGTGGGCCAAAGTTTCCCAAAAAACGACTCAGTCCAAGGAGCTTTCTTGGGCAAGCTCTCCACCACCTCTGCCGCAAAAGCCTCAAGTATTGACCACCCAGCTACTTCAAATCAACTTAGTGGCCGAAGCCAAAGGCTGGCCAAAGGCTTGAAATGGCTTGAACTTGTTGTTCATTTGAGGTCTAGCTTGTGGGGCTCGTTTCACTCACTCACTCACTCACACACTCACTCACTCACTCACGCACGCACTCACTCACTCACGCACGCACTCACTCACTCACGCACGCACTCACTCACTCCCTCACGCACTCACTCACTCACTCACTCACTCACTCACTCACTCACTCACTCACTCACTCACTCACTCACTCACTCACTCACTCACTCTCACTCACACTCACACTCACAGTCACACTCTCACTCACTCACTCACTCCCTCACTCCCTCACTCACTCACTCACGCACTCACTCACGCACTCACTCCTTCACTCACTCACTCACTCCCTCACTTACTTACTCGCTCGCTCGCTCGCTTGCTCGCTCCCTTACTCACTCACGCACGCACTCACTCACTCCCTCACTCGCTCGCTCGTGTGCTCGCTCACTCACTCACTCACTCGCTCGCTCGCTCGCTCACTCCCTCACTCACGCACTGACTCACTCACTCACGCACTCACTCACTCGCTCGCTCGCTCACTCACTCACTCACTCTCGCTCGCTCACTCACTCACTCGCTCACTCCTCACTCGCGCACTCACTCACTCACTCATACACTCACACACTCACTCACTCACTCATACACTCACACACTCACTCACTCCCTCAATCACTCACTCACGCACGCACGCACTCACTCACTCTTTCTGGTATTATGTCTTTCTTTATTTCTGGTTTTTCCCTCCCTCTCTCTCTCTCTCTCTCTCTCTTGACACGCAAGAAAAGGGACATTGCTGCAATTCCGAGTGATGTGCATGGCGCCCCACTTCACCAGAGAAGCCTCCGCTTTGTCTCCCATCCCCCAGGCCCAGCGGCCATCTTGGCTTTCGCCTCTGCCTGAGCCACGCGCGAAACGAAAACGCTGGGAGACGCCCGCACCCGGCAGTGACCTCACCATCTCACTTGATCACTCACAAATACTACACCACACGCACACACAACACAACAAACACAAACATAAACTTTGCAAGTGTTTCTCAATGTAGTGCAATCCGTTTTCGCCTGGTAAAGGGACTCAATCAGGACAGCAACCACCTGGATCAGGTCCCTACTTTCCAAACACAAGCGCAAGTGCAAACAAACACACATTCAACACACACACACACAATGCAACCGAATGCAACGCCTGCCCGGCTCGCCTGACCTCACCCACCAATGCAACCATGCACACACCCCAACGCACCCACGCACGCATATGCACGCATGCATGCACAATCATGCAGGTCAAATAGATTACGCTAGACTGCCTCACAGCTCTGCAGCAGGGCAGCATGCGGTGAGCAAGGAACCAAGAACGAATTAAGCAACTAGTCGACTCATCAACCCACCATCCATAGCAGCCTTTCGACTCTTCGCATGTGTGTATGTGTGTTGCAACATAGAGAACACTCTCCCCCCCCCCCCCCAAAAAAAAAAAAGAGAAAGAAAGAAGAAGTGGTGTGTCCCTTTGTGTTTCCCTTGAAAGGAGGGGTGGTTGCCAAAGCCATGCATATACATACATGTATCTATATATATACATACATACGTATGCATTCAGAATATTGCATTCCAACGCACTCACAGCGAACTGGATCCCCAGCTCTCGCGCGCCTTCGGAGGCGCCTCCTTTGGAGTCTTCACCTCCGGCACCACCGGGCCTGGTGCTGTGCTCACAGCTCCAAGATCCAAACGGCTGTGGTTGTCAAAAATTGGGTAACCCCAAGATGGAACCCTGGTAGATGGACACATGGACTAAAACCTGCGTCTTTGCTTTTTTTGGGTGGCTGAATTTTGACCCATGCCCAAAACTGACCCATTGGTGTGTTGCGGCAAGGCTGCGAAGTTAAGAGGAATGCTTGCAGCTCTGCTGATCCTCTTGGCTCAAAGGAGCTGTGTCCAACTGGAAAGAATCCAGCCGGTTGCTTCGCTCGAAACCTATGCGTGGAGGGTGCCACGAAACATAAGAAAGCGCTTCTAGACCAAACTTGGGTTGCCCTGACCAACACCTGCCGTCCTTGTTTTACAAGACCATGTTTCCTACTGGTTTGCCCTTTTTTGCAGCCCAAGGATTTATACTGTCCCACACGAATCTGTCTTGGCCCGAACCGCCTGATTGGTTCGGTCTGGCCTGCAGTTCTCGTTTCCAAACAAACGAATCATTCCGAGTCTGAATGTGGTAAGTGCAAACGGTAAGAACAAGCCACAAGAACAAGCAGCCAGTCACAAAGACAGGATCAGAAAGGCATGATACAATAGAATGTTCAAGTAGCTCCCCCCTTGCGATATGCGGAACCATCTTGAAGTAGGAAGCCCAGCGCGTAGAACCGGATGTCCGTGCCCAATTTGCGATGCTAGTTCATGGCCAGCGAAAGAGTGGCCGATAGCCGCAGGCTTCAGTTGATGACAGCAACGGTATTGAAGCCGAAAGGAAACGAGTCACAGTCTTCAGCATACTTAGCTGGACAAATTGCCCGCATTTCAGAATCCCTGGAACGCAGCCCTGTCCTTGTGTCTCATAGAAGCTCCTCTGCGCATCCCGCAGCCGTTGGCCTCAAGGATTGTCAAATGATTGAGAGTCGATGGTTTGAGCGACTACCCTTTCAGAAGCCACACATGGCACACGGACCTGTCCCTCGAGGACTGGCGCGAACAACTCTTTAAGCATGATTTTTAGCAACTGGGCTCAGCATCCAGCTAAACCCCCCTTGTATGAGCGTCGGCCGAATTTGGCCCGCTGTATGGATTGAGGGGTGCGCAGGAATTGTCTTCAATTTCAAGATGGGGCGTGCTTCAACATTTTGCAAATGATGCTTGCAAACAGCATGTGCCCAACAAAACATGTTTTGCCATGGTGAGTTGGCAAAGTTTATATCTCTTTGCGCTAAGCGCACCTGAACATTCGTACAACTCTCTCCAGGGCTAAAACGTCCGAGTCCGGGGCATTCTAAATCGGAAGAAGCACCACTCCCTCAAGCGCTGTGTGAACTTTCTTTTGGAGCAGGCATCGGCATGTGATGCCTCTGTCTCGAACCCTTGGGTACAGTTCCAGGGTGACATCTGACTCACTCACCGATGCATGATGCAAAAATCGAGCCTCGAGTTGAACATCCGGACTGGAAGATTGGACACAACGCATTCGATATATCAGGAGAGTTGTGATGCAACCGTACTCGCGACCTGTAATCATCTTGGTGGCTTTCCTTGAGCAGACTTTCTTGCTTGATCTAGACGCCAAACTCCTTCCATTTGCTTAAAACCCCTGGGAAAAAAGATCATCTTTCCAGTAGTGGCAAATTGCCCCTGTATATAACACCTCTTTCCAGTAGTTTAAAAGAAGTAACACCAACAAGGGAAAATATAAACATATTCATTTCAGCAAACGTCATCTTTGGGGCACCTTTCAACCAAAAAAGTGCCACACTCTGAAGCTGTTGGGCCGCTGGCGCCGTGGATCAAGCCACTGAGCCCCTGGCCGAAGGCCTCCGAAAGAAACTCACCTAAGTCAGCAGAAGAAAACGAGCAACACTGATTTTGCCACCTTATGAAAGGGAAACCCTTTTCTTGGACCTTCTCGTAGTGAGAGGCGCAGGCAAGCAACCCAGGGAATCGAAACTTCGTGCCGGGCTGCTGTCCAACATGGCGCCTGTCTGGCCCACTATCGAGCCGAACAGCCGCGCAGACAGGCGAGCTCCGAGGGCTTGCCACTCCAAGTTGCGGTCCGCCACTCGCTTGTGTGAAGGAAGGGGTCCAGTCTCCTAAGGTTCCCGCACCAAAGGCTCCGTTTAAGGCATGCCCCACAAACTACCTTCCCTATGAGCTGGCCTCAAAATCAGGACAGTGATTTTACCACCTTATGGAAGCGCAATTGCAGTAGCTCACATTCAGCTAGGAGGGCAGAGCACTACAAATACTTAGCCAGGGGTGCCGACTGACAGAGACTGCAAGCAGGTTTGGGCAGAAGCACAAACATGTCTGGGCTGGCCATCTCTCTAACACCAGCGCTTTAATCGCTGGCAAGGTGGCTCAACCCTCAAATGATGGACTGCCGTTCTCCAGCTTTTAAAGTGGCACAGACCTACCCGGCCTGCCACTTAAGCGAACGGCTCATCTCTAGCATCGTGTTCGCGTCATGCGTGCTTGATGCCTTGCTGCATCCAGGAAACGACACAAGTGCCGACAAGAAATGCTCAATGTGTCAAGTGGAAGCATTCATCATTTAAATTGCAGACCCTTGAACTCTCCCATCGCGCAGGGCCCGGCCTCGCCGCTAACTCCTCCCGGAGCGCCGAGCAGCGTTGTGCCTCGAGGCGGCTTTCGGTGTCGGAATGCTTCGCGCCCCATTCGGCGAACGCCCGAAGGCTATCTCAGGTCTAACTCCTCGAGGTCATTGGCCCTTGGGATCCTATGCATCTGGCTGAACGCCTGTCGACAGACCCGCGGTTGGGCTGAAGAAAAACAACTTGGGAAATTGTTTGCGTCAGGACCCCGGGCGCCAAACACGCGGGTATCTAAGCGGACCTCCGCTTTGATTGGAACTAGCTCCTGCTGCCTCAACTGTAGAAACATGTGTGGTTTGGTATATGCGCGTGATGTGCGTGTGATGTGCAAGGGGGTCCCTCAAGAGGGGGGACCCACCGCCGAGTGCAATCTAAGCCATACTGTACTGCGCCATGCAAAAGCTTTGCCCCAAACCATGCATCCTGCCAGCAACTAAGCATCAACCATTCAACGCACGTGGTGCTAGGGTGAAGAAAGCACTGGGCCTGGCTGCTGCCCGTCCGCCAATCGCAAACTTCCGTTCATGTTTGGATGATGCTTTCCGCGAAGGGCCCTTCAACAACACCCGTTCCAGATCGGGGTCTTTCAGGGAGTGGCTTTTAGGTCATCAAATGCTGCAAAATGACAATCATACTGTTGCCAAGTAGGAATGACCCAAACAAAGTCAAGGAAGACAAGCCTGCCTTATTGAAAGCACTTGTTACGCCTCAAACAAAATGGAGTCAACATCACCCGCCACGAACTCACATCGCTGCGAGCTTTCGTTGCTTTCAACTCGCCCCGGAGCAATTGGCGCCTCTGCTTGAAGCTCCTGCTGCAAGCGCATGGCCTGGCACCGCAAGCTTCCTGCGGAAATGGATTCCGAGTCCAAGGCAGTTGCTAACAATTCGAGGGGTTTCACAGTATATATTCATAGGGTTTGCTAGGTGGTTTGCACAGAGTATTCACAGGTTTTCTCTTGATTCTACAAAGCAATGCGGCTGCAGTTGCAAGATTTTTGTTTCGAGCAACTTGTTGCAAGCTCTTGCAAACTTGCCTTGTCCATCGGGACAACTATTGCTGTTCCGTTTCAGATGGCTCGATTGTACCAACCTCCCTGCCACAAAAGGATGCCACAAACTCCTATAGCATTTCACCCATTCAGAAAAGGATTCAGCTCCTTGGTCACAGCTCACTGCAATGAACAAAGTCATGAACCCTTGCAGCCTGTGGATCGAGCCTATAAGAACTTCATGAGGCCTCATCCAGGGCGAATCATTTGGCAATGCCCCTGCCAACACGAATCCTACTCAAATCTTCCGTACTGGGAGGGACTGTGTTGAAGAATCAGCTAGATACCGCTGAATCAGCGTTTAGGGAAAACAATCCCCGCAAGGGGCTCGCTTTCCTCTTCCAAGTTTGGAAGTTGGCGAAACGGGATTCAGTATACAAAAGACAACCACCAAACCACACCTGCTCACTTTTCTCCCGCGCGTGCGCGCACAGCGACCATCACATCCTCGACGCTGGGACTTTGCCTGGGCATGTGTGGTCAGGTCAAGGCCAAATTCTGTGCATTTCTGTGAGGGCATGGTCAATATCCATGTCAATTGACATGCCACTTTAGTAAGTAACCCATTTCTGATTCTGGCACGTTGGTTCCTACAAAGGATGGGACATATCTACCGCTACCTCATGTATCTCCGATTGAATCATCGACCGGCGCCAAGTTATTCAAACTAACAAAGGGACAAACCGCTTATTAAATGATAAGTTAAGCAACCTGTGCACTGTCTCTTCTATCCACCCTGCTTGGGAAAGCCTGCCCCGAAAACAAATGGCGCCAAACAGCTCTAGCATTGGAAACGATGAAACGCACTCTAACCCCAGTAGTTCGTAGACTTGATTCAGCTGGGGCCTACCCTGAGTTTTCAGGAGCACCCACCCCCACATTTGATTCGTGTCCTGAAGCGCGCTTGAAGATCTGGAAACGAAATACCCAACCTCACCTGCTCCAACAAGCATCTCCTCCATGTAAATCTTCAAAAAGGCCCCCTTGTCTTCAGAAAACCATCAGCTTTGGGGGAGGTTGCCGAGAGCTGCCAACTCCCACTCAGCGACCTCTCCCGTTCCACGCCTCAGCTTTGGCGCTGAGCGCTCTTCTTTCCATGTGCCTGGGACCCGCTGCGTCTGGGAAGGAGGGAATCACACACGACAGGAAGCTAACAGGAAGCCATGGTGGGAGGGTTGGGAACCTCTCGAATCAATCAGAAAGGAGCCCTCTTCCTCATCTCCGGCTATTCTGCAAAGTCAGGTCATGGTTTCTATGGCGGGGACATCTCCCAGCATTGGCAATCCTCAACGCCAGTTTCAGGCACCGCACCTTGCCCAACGCGTTGCCAGAGCCGATCGCCTTGCCGACATTGCCAGCTCCGATGGGCCGGCGGCCGCCGATGCCTAGCAGTTGCCCAAGCTCGTCGGAAAAGCAGGGCATGGCACATGGCACCACTGGCCCTCGTTCCGGACCTACTTACGGCCAGGAATTCCCTAATGTCCTGGAGAAACTGCATGACAGGCCTCTTGAACTAGACAAATCCTCCTTGATTGTGCCCGTTCGGGCAGAAAAGGCATTGCCTCCAGAGCATTGGCCTCCCACCCTGTGCACCTCACTTCTTGGGCAAGCCTCCACAAATCTCCACATATACCACGATACAAGTCTGAACGAGGCCAACGAGAATTCTGACGAGATGCCTCTAGCACCTCCTCTCCGAGACAGACTGGAAGTCAGAACAGCTTGCTGACTTTGATCCCCTCTTTGTGCATAACACAGGGTCGTGGTTCCCTCCCAAAAGAGCGTACATGGATGCACATCGCTGCACATCTGTGTTAGCAATTGTGTGTGTGTGTGTCGCCCACGTGCTCACACGCAAGTACTCAATAGGACCTAGTCTGCGCAATTGGCTTGAGCATTATCAATTGCCACACTACGCACCACCACAACTCAGGCATGAGTTAGATAAGACCCCCCAAAATGGGTGGTTCCGCTTTGGCTGCCCTTTAAACCAAGACCATAAACATACTGAGCCGCACACGCACAGACATGACCACACCGCTGCGATATAGAAGGCCCACTTGGAGCATGCCCCCGACCTTCAGGAGGAGGGGGGTGGGGGGTCCCCAATTCCATTTATCTAGTCTTCCCCATAAAAGAGGGTCACCCCCCTCCCCAATTCCATTTTTAAGGCGGTGGGGGTGTTGGAGCAGAGCTAAGCCGCAGACTTTTTGGAGCCTGGGCTTCCAGTTCCTCAAAGGATTTCTGAATCTCATCCTTCTGGCGCTCCATCTCCTATCTGAGACGTGTCTCAACAGGTGGATATGCGGACCCCGTGTTGGTTGGTATTTAAAGGGACGTCAAAAAGCAAACCAAACCTCTTTTTGGGGGGGGCCTATTATTGACGAATACGCAACTATGCCCATTCTCAGCCGGAGCGGGGGACTCAGTCAACAGAAGGGGTTCGTCACCCCGCGCTGCCTCGCTCCGCGCCAGTTTCGAGTGTTCTCGCATTTGTGGTGTTTTTGGCAGTCTGGCTTTGCTGAACTTCCTTGGCGAAAGTGGTAAAACTCTTAGCAGTGGGTTCAGAGCATGGCCTCACTAGCTGGTGTCTCACTTATCTTCAGAGTCTTGGAGACCCTTGGAGACTGTCGCGTGTTGGCTTGCTTTCTTCCTTGGTTGGAAACAATGTGCCTCGTATAATGCTGCCTCCATCCACGCTTGGCGCAGGTCCAATGAGGGTTTTGATGGGCCTTGGCCACAGTTGACACGGCTTATGACTAGTCCCCGGTGCCTCATTTGTTTCTGGGAGGGGGGCCCTTCACAGGTGGCTGGCCAGGATACGCCCATCTGGCCAAGTTGACAAACTGTGGATGGCACAATTACCTTACAGGATGACCGAAATGGGGGAGATTGTGCTACCTAATTCACCCAACAGAAGCACTCGTTGCTCAGGTGCCCAAATTCCCCTCCCCAAGGAAAGACGTAGTCCTTAAGTTGGTATGTAAAACAAAGAATACAAGGCTAGAACCACTTCAAAAGTGGTTGGTGCACTTGAACCCCCATCAAAATGATGTCCACCAAAGGGTTCTGTACTAAAAGTCACACCCAAATTGGGAGAAACCAGCCATCTTCCAGGAAAACCGATCCCATCCGGTCCTTGTAGACCTGGAAGTACTCCAGGTGGTTCTCCAGCAGCAGCACCGCATCCTCCAGCGCCGAGTGGCTGCCCAAAAGCAGCAAGCCCTCGGGCCCGAACTTGGCCTCCGATAAGCCTGCCTAAGCGAAGCGGCGGAGCTTCGGATCCGAATCCGAAGCAACAAATGGCTTTGGCATTAGGTCGCTGGTATGGCTACCCCCTCAAGATGCCAGTGGCTAGGGGCTCCACCAACATGCCCTCCAATTTCCTTGCTGGCTCGATCAGCAGGGAATGAGCTGGAGTGACACCGAGAGAAACCAACCCCTCTGGCTTCCTTTCAGGGAATCGCCTTCCGGTTCATTCCCAAACCCTGGGTCACCCTTCACTGAGCGCCAGCTGTCTCTCCCACACAAGAACTCAATTCTGCCCGTGAGCCTTCTTGGCGATGTCTTTCAGGCTGCCATCTTTCTGAAACCACTCAGCTTGATCCTCCTGATTCAAGTGGTGACGCGCAAGCGGCTTGCTCTCGCAACGTTGGGTGTCACCATGGTTGATGGACGCGTTTTGCCTGGCAACAAATTACCAAGCTGCAGGAGGTTAAACTAGAATTGAGTGGCTCAAAGGTGTGATGGTACCTAGCAACCGACAGCTCGTTCATCAATCCTTTGCTTTAGAGATCCAAGTATGAAGCACCCCTTCATCAACAAAGCTGCTGGCTACATCCGTCAAACTTCCTGCCCGGGCAACCTCCTCACTTTGGCTGATTCGGACCTCAATTCACCACATGTTTGTTGGTTTGTATTGGTGGTTTGGAGGTTCAGGGCTGGTTTCCCATTTACCCTCTACCAAAGCCAGATCCCGGAACCGCCAGTCCAAACCACCAATTGAGGTTTACATGATCAATCTGGCCCACGAAGGAAAACCATGTCCGCGTCCACCCCCCACAGGTCTCTGGGAGGGGGTACTCCATCTGCCGCAGCTCCAGCTCATCTCGCGCCGCCTCAGCGGCTTCCAAGGAGTCGGAGTAGATGAGGACAGTCCTCAGCTTGACGTTGAATCGAAAGGGGCGCAACAACAATTTTTGAAAAGTTGGCAGTTAAGTGGTTGGATTTCTCACTACAAGGGGAGCAACAACTTTAATGTTGGCAGTTAAGTGGTTGGATTTCCCACTACAAGGGGAGCAACAACTTAAATGTTGGCAGTTAAGTGGTTGGAGTTCCCACTAAAAGGGGAGCAACAACTTAAATGTTGGCAGTTAAGTGGTTGGATTCGACCACTAAGCCACAGCAAAAAGGTAAAATGTTTCCCAACGACAACTATGTCACGCGGCCGTTGGGCTCCATGGATGTGTCTGCCAAATGTGTCTGCCTGCTTCAATTGACGAGGAACAAATGCTGGCCAACTTCTGCTCTGCCAGAGGTCCTTGTAAGTGGAGATCATTCTCAGGCTGCTAGTTGCCGCCCTATGACACACTCAAATCAGCCGCACTTCGGAATCTGACTACGGACTGAGCATGGCATTCTTAATTAGGCACATCATCATCTGAAAGCCTGGGCTTTTGAACATGGGACTCAGGTCGCTCAGTGACTACAAGGGGAGCAGGAGAAGCAGCAGTAGCAGCATTAGCAGGACCAAAGCTAGGAGTACAGTAAGAGTAGTT